CCAGGAGAACCAGGCCATGTAGCTCAAAAGACTGTTTAATGACCGCTTAGACCCATTTGACTTGAACAAGTTCTTAAAATGCCAGTGAATTTGACCAAAACCTGAGAGGCCTAATTGTCCTGATTGATGTTAAAAAATCCAACCTGGAAACTGTATCTCCCCCCATAAAACCTGCTCATCTCCAATTGAAGTGGCATTGGCTTTATAACGTAAGGCACTGTTGTAATTTAGCTGTAATGCAAAATAAATAAAAAATAAAATGTTGTTTATCTAATGAAATAACTTAGATATTGACTTTTGTAATAAAATTAAGTGCATCACTACTTTATAATTCGTTTTTCTAATGTACATATGCTATCTGAATCTTGAATAAATTGTTGAAATTGCTTGCAATATTTTTATTAGATTCATGTAGTGTTGATTTGTAACTTAAATATAATTTTTAGTTTATTTCTCTAATGGAATCTTGCTAATGCATTAGAATATAAAAATCATATTTCTAAAATATTTTCATTGGGCCAACTGTCAACCCGATTACGTATTGATTGAATCAAGAACATATCAATGTTCGAGCTGAAATATTAATTTGTTTCTGCTGATGTAAGTTGTCCTCAGTTATTTCCTAGCTGCACTATTCAAGGACCCCATCTCCCGCTAATGTATCCACATAACAATAGGTCGAATTGTTTTTTGTTTTTTTTAATCCTGACTAATTTTTAATTAGCAGTTTTTTTTCATAAATGTATTGCAGATATGCAATGACGGGACAGTTGACACAGAAGAGTGACGTGTATAGTTTTGGGGTTGTTCTGCTTGAGCTTCTAACTGGAAGGAAACCTGTTGATCATACCATGCCTCGTGGGCAGCAGAGTCTTGTTACCTGGGTAAGCCTTTCAGCAGTTGCCTGTTTTTATCATTTTTCATGCGTACAAAATCTCAGATTTTCCCTTCATTTCTTCTATTTTCAATTTCATGAAAGTCGTCTTAATACATGCAGTTTACCACTTCTCTTGTACTTCTTTTAGGCTACTCCAAGACTGAGCGAGGACAAAGTTAAACAATGTGTTGATCCAAAACTCAGAGAGTATCCTCCGAAAGGAGTTGCAAAGGTCCCCTCTCTCTCTCTCTCTCTCTCTCTCTCAATACATGGGGAAATGGCATCATTGTTCCCAAATCCTTTACCCAACCAGCGCGTTGGTTCCCAACCTTCTAGTATAGTTGCACAGTCAATCCTCAACTTAAAAAACTGTCTAAATCTTCATTAAGATGTTACGTGCCCCTCATGAGATTCTTCAAATTTATGGGCACAAGTCCAAGTTGAGAAACAAAATTTAATTTTGCAAATTTCGACATGTGAGTATCATGTGACATTTTTAACATGGATTTGGACGGTTAATATCGTCAGTGGGGACTAATTGTACAACTATAATCTAATATTGAGAATCAACTTATTCATTATTTTGGTCAGGAATCAACTTGCTACTCGAGCAATAAGTAAGCTGTCAATACTCAAATTTCCTTGAGTACAAAGACCCGAATCATGCACTTATGTTATAGGAAAAGTTGACCATGCTAACAATGTACCCATGCGTTCAATTATTGTTCAGCTGGCAGCTGTAGCAGCACTGTGTGTGCAGTATGAAGCTGAGTTTCGACCAAATATAAGCATTGTTGTCAAGGCTTTGCAGCCACTGTTGAAGTCAACCGTCCCGGCCCGTGAGATATAGTGGTATTTGAAATTCTGCCATAATTTGGGTCCATTTCTGTGTGAAAAAGAAACCAGTGAGGTATTTATATATTTTTCATTTTTTTTTTTTTGGAAATCGAGACGTGTAAGATTGATTGTTTTGGTTCTTTCAAGTTTGCTGCCTATTTGCATTATGTTGGTTATGTCTTTTAAATAGGGATTGGGCCATGTATCATGCAACCCAAGCAGTTCAATTAAGTTCTCGTTTGGCAATATTTGTGCATCATGAATAAATGATGGAACTTCATTTTCGATCACATTTTAGTGGAACTACGTGTGCTATCTATTTATCCATAGTTCATTTTTATTTATCAACTAAATCATTTGTAAATTCTTCCTACCCAAAGTTATCACCACTTCATCCCCACAAGTAAAACTTTAAAAGTTTTGATCTTTCGTGATCGAAAAAACTTGATCCCCCTAGGCTTTCATGATCGAAAAACTTAAAAAGCATGCTATCGAACTGCTTTTAAACCCACTAGGCTTGAAGAGGCTTCTACTGTCCTTTAAAAAGATGACAAACTAATTTATTCAAGTTATTATTTCAATCGAAATTACAAATAAAATGACAAATTATGAAGTATTTGAATGGTGTATTACTACTTCGAAGTAGAGAAGACTAGGAGTCACACGAATATATACGATTAATATGTTCTAATGTCAAAGCATGATGTTATGCTATAATGGTTCGTTTGATAGACAAATGTAGAAATGAATTTTAATTCCATATTAGTTGGAAAAATAAAAATTCACTAAACTCGTAGGAATTCGTTTTTCATGAAAACAAAGAGAATGCAGCTTAAAGTGGTTGTACCTTGGAATTCGATTTTTATTTTCATATTGCATTCAAACAGTCAAAGTGGAATTCGTTTTCCTCAAATGTGACATTTTCCATGGAAAATGTGGCAATCAACACGGTCTAAGTGAAAAATTTTGAAGCCTAAACTCGATGTGAAATATTTTAACTCCAACAATATCAATAGTGTCCGTTTATGTTTTCCTTATAGTATATATCACAGTTCGAGTTACCTCGACAATATCGTCTTTGTTAATAGTCAGATGTAGTAAATATCATCGTCTGAATTACCTATAACATACATTACACATTGACATGTGATTATTAAGAATTATGAATAAGAACGTCAAATAGTTCGAATTCCTTGTATTTGAAAAATCTACAATAAATCAATCTTTCTCCAAAATCCATTTCAATGGCATCGATTATAGATGTAGAAGGGTATATTCATTTTTCTCCACCAACCAATGTGATATGATTGCTCGTAAACTAAAAGTACAATGGTTTATTGATCCAATACATCAACTAACTCTGGTAAGATCATTCACATATCAATAAGAGGGAAATGATTATTCTTAAATTAAAATATAGTGGCCCAATTAGTCTAATTACATCAAAATATGGTCTGATTAGTCTAATTTCGACAAATTGAAGTTCAAATGTGTTCGGTCTTGCTTAAAACCCAATTAAAATTGAAAATACAGTCGTTATTGGGTCATACTCGTCTAATAAAAGTAAACAATAACGATTAATTTTTCAATTTTAATCTGATTTTAATCATTACCGAACACGCGTGCAATTAATCCCAATATAAACCCTCAAGACTCCAACTATCTGTTCGTTGCCCCAATATAAACCCTCGGAACAGTGATTTTTTTCTCCACTCCTCTCCTCTCCTCGTCTCTCTCAACTGTGAAATTAGTACCTCTACTCTCGTGCCTGAGACTTCGGATTCTGCAGCTGCCCTCAAAATGACTGCTCCTAGTCAATCCCAAGAATCCGTCTCTTCTCCGAAACTACAGTCGTCCAACGAAGGAGAAATTGAAGAAGCTCTTCTTGATGATACTAAAACCAACCAAAACAACAGTCTTTTACTGTTAAAGGAGCCGGGGTGTGGATTTTCTGGTCATGAACAAGATTCAGAGGTGGAGATGGATACCCACCATTGCTATGGAGCCGTTCAAGATTCACCCTCTGGTGATGTTGCATATGACGCCGCATTGGTCAGTTCTGATATGATTGTCCCTGAAATTCTAGAACAACCTTCTTCTTGTGCGGTGAGGTTTGCTGATGATGCATTTGATTCAAGAACCGTGAAGGAACAAGAAGGCTATTTTGCTGATGATACAGTTGATTCGATAAACGTGAAGAAACAAGAAGAGGAGTGTGCTGATGGTGATTTCTTTGGTCACTCCATAAATATATTTTTTCATTTTTTTTTTTTTTGGGAAATCGAGACGTGTAAGTTTGATTGTTTTGGTTCTTTCAAGTTTGCTGCCTATTTGCATTATGTTGGTTATGTCTTTTAAATAGGGATTAGGCCATGTATCATGCAACCCAAGCAGTTCAATTAAGTTCTCGTTTGGCAATATTTGTACATCATGTATAAATGATGGAACTTCATTTTCGATCACATTTTAGTGGAACTACGTGTGCTATCTATTTATCCACAGTTCATTTTATTTATCAATTAAATCATTTGTAAATTCTTCCTACCCAAAGTTATCACCACTTCATCTCCACAAGTAAAACTTTAAAAGTTTTGATCTTTCGTGATCGAAAAAACTTGATCCCCCTAGGCTTTCATGATCGAAAAAACTTAAAAAGCATGCTATCGAACTGCTTTTAAACCCACTAGGCTTGAAGAAGCTTCTACTGTCCTTTAAAAAGATGACAAACTAATTTATTCAAGTTATTATTTCAATCAAAATTACAAATAAAATGACAAATTATGAAGTATTTGAATGGTGTATTACTACTTCGAAGTAGAGAAGACTAGGAGTCACACAAATATATACGATTAATATGTTCTAATGTCAAAGCATGATGTTATGCTATAAGGGTCCGTTTGATAGACAAATGTGGAAATGAATTTCAATTCCATATTAGTTGGAAAAATAAAAATTCACTAAACTCATAGGAATTCGTTTTCGATGAAAACAAAGAGAATGCAGCTTAAAGTGGTTGTACGTTAGAATTCGATTTTTATTTTCATATTACAATCAAACTATCAAAGAGGATTTCGTTTTCCTCTAATATGACATTTACCATTGAAAATGTGGCAATCAACATGGTCTAAGTGAAAAATTTCGAAGCCTAAACTCAATGTGAAATATTTTTACTCCAACAATATCAATAGTGTCCGTTTATGTTTTCCCTAGAGTATATATCATAGTTCGAGTTACCTGGACAGTATCGTCTTTGTTAATAGTCAGATGTAGTAACTATCATCGTCTGAATTACCTATGACATACATGTGATTATTAAGAATTATGAATAAGAACATCAAATAGTTCAAATTCCTTGTATTTGAAAAATCTACAATAAATCAATCTTTCTCCGAAATCCATTTCAATGGCATTGATTATAAATGTAGAAGGGTATATTCATTTTTCTCCACCAACCAATGTGATATGATTGCTCGTAAACTAAAAGTACAATGGTTTATTGATCCAATACATCAACTAACTCTGGTAAGATCATTCGCATATCAATAAGAGGGAAATGATTATTCTTAAATTAAAATATAGTGGCCCGATTAGTCTAATTACATCAAAATATGGTCTGATTAGTCTAATTTCAACAAATTGAAGTTTAGATGTGTTCGGTCGTACTTAAAATCCAATTAAAATTGAAAATATAGTTGTTATTGGATCATACTCGTCTAATAAAAGTAAACAATAACGATTAATTTTTCAATTTTAATCCGATTTTAATCATTGCCGAACACGCGTGCAATTAATCCCAATATAAACCCTCAGACTCCAACTATCTGTTCGTTGCCCCAATATAAACCCTCTGAACAGTGATTTTTTTCTCCACTCCACTCCTCTTCTCTCGTCTTGTCTCTCTCAACTGTGAAATTAGTACCTCTACTCTCGTGGCTGAGACTTTTTGCACCAAGAAGAGGAGTGTGCTGATGGTGCAATAACTGTTACGAAACAAGTAGTCGATTTTTCTGATGATGTAATTGATTCAATTACAGTGATGAAACAAGAAAAATTGGACTCCTTCGAGAAACGTTTGAAGATTCAAGTGATTGACGAGACAGCACTCATTGAATCACCATGTCTCGGAAATGGGAAGCGCCAAGAAACTCAGGGGACAAAGGAGAAGAGGCCAAAAAGAAGGCGCTCCAAAGCTGTGAAAAACGTGGAAACTTCAGGAGCCGGCTCCCAAGATTGTGGCTACATTGGGAATAAAGGGAAGAAAGGACTGGTGTATTCGAGGAAGGAAATGGAGGCTTTGAGGTTTGTGGGATTGGAAGCCCAGAAGAATAAGTGGATTGAAATATACTGTGGGCTCGGTCCTTTGGTGGCAAAGGAGTATGATGAACTGACTCATCATCAGAAACACAATGCCACTGGCTTTGACTTTGATCCTAGGCCCCAGTTCTTGAGAGCTTCCGTGCCCTCTACATCCTTTGGTGAGCAATTCAGTCATTTCTTTTGATTATTTGTTAGGCTACAAATCAGATATTTGTGTGTTTTCTAGATTTTGCCAAAATTTGTTATTTGCCTTGATCTTGAGCATATTGTTATCGTTATTATTTCTTGTAATTTGCTCTTCTAGATTTGTGTTCCACATATTGTCTTTTTATTTGACTTTACTTTTTCTTTCCATCTTCTGTAGTATTTTGTTCGGTCTCTCATCGTCGTATTGTTACAATGGCAGAAATTATGTAAGGCAAATCTCTTGTTGATGATGGCATTGAACTTGCATGATTTGGGAGTGTGTTATGATATGAGCAATAAGTAGAACTTTAAGGGACAAGATGTGGAAAATACTATGGAATTCCATTATGTTGTTGTCTGGTTTCATTTGAATTTAACACGGCTCTTGACAAAATGTGTGTCAATAATTACATGCGTTATTCTGTTTTTTTAAATTCTACATTCATTTTGGGTTTTGAGGGAATTGGAAAGGACTCTGAGAAGTTCTTATCTTTAACTCTTCAACTTTTA